AAGAGCAATTCTTATCATAAGTGGCCATACGCTGTCTGGTTAGCTGAGCAGCTCTCTGGACTCCCTTGGCTTCTTCAATGACTGACAACTGTGTGAATACTACTGTATTTAATTAATAATGTAATTATCTGATTTGGAACTGAATACTCTCCAAACCTTGTATTTTAAGCTGAGCCTTCTTGTCTTTTTATTTGGTCAGAAGAGAGAGAACAGGCATCTTTTGAGGGTAATTTACTCTGCCAACTTTAAGCATTTGATTTGAAACATGGAGAACTTAGTACTGCCAAAATCTGTGCATGCTCTACCATACTCTGTAGGTGTCTACATAGTTAAAACCTGTGATTGTTGTCTACTTACTGTTATCAATTACGAGGTAAGATGGAATGTCTCTTAATTAACTTAATAACCTGGTAGGTACGTTTAGACACAGCTAATTAGAGCTTTTATGTAATTGGGGCTGTGATTAATAGACTATGAAGACTGTTTAATTTGTATTAGGTGCATGGACAGTCACAGGGAAATTGAATTTTGAGGCTATGTTGAATAACAAGTAGAGGACCTCAGGACAGCACAACAGTGAACAATTATTCTCTTAATAAAGAATTAATATATTCAGCCACTAGTTATGTCCTGACATACAGGTGTTTTTCTTTTTTGTAGTTCACCCCTGTGACTCCCTCCTGCACTATTCCTCCCTCCGCAGGATCTTTCACACTGTTATTAATGTGTGCATGAATCTCTGTTTTGGAAATATCGATAACTTCTTACAGTTAGCAGTCTAGCAATGTAGTTTACTAAAATTAATGATAACGTGAATTATACTGGAGCTTATTTCACCTTTCTGCCCCACTCTTTTTTTTTTTTTTTTTTTCCCTCCCTCCACTAAGGGCACATTCTGGGTGGGACAGAACCTAACTTGGGGCAATTCAGTGAGAAAGCAGCAGAAATGAACTTATTTACCCAATTGTTAGAATCATAGCATTGCTCATGTTGGAAAAGACCTTAAAATTATCAAGACCAACCTCAACCTAACCAACCTACCCTAACTCTAACAGCCCTCTGCTAAATCACATCCCTGAGAACCACATCCAAATGGTTTTTGAACACATCCAGGGATGGTGACTCAACCAACTCCCTGGGGAGCCTATTGCAGTGCTTAACAATCCTTTCTGTAAAGAAGTTTTTCCTGATATCCAACCTAAGTTTACCCTGGTGCAACTTGATGTAATTTCCCCTTGTCCTGTCACCAGTGAGAAGAAACCAACCCCACTCTCGCTGTAAGCACCTTTCAGATATTGGAAGAGAGCAGCAAGGTTCCCCTCAGCCTCCTTTTCCCCAGACTGTACAGCCCCCATTCCTTCAGTCTCTCCTCATAGGGCATATTCTCCAAGCCCTTCACAAGTCTTGTTGGGGATCTGTAGTAGTCTTGCAAGTTCCCTTTCACCTCTTTTCTGTGCATCTCCCACGACTCCAAAGGGAATTAATACATACTGACCTTTGGACATGCTTCTTCACCTGTTAGGCAGCTGGAGGGGGAAGTCTGAGGGACTGCCACTGATAGAGAGGGCAAAAAGATGTAGAAAAAGACACGGAGTGAGAAGTTGTAGCAGTGGAAATAAGATAGGAGGAAAAGATGATGTGTGATGAGTTCATCTGGCATCCTGGAGACGCAGTCTGTTATAACTTTTTATTCACTATCATATTAAGATACAATGTACGTGGAAAGACATACTGTAAAGACAGTCAACCCTCTTGTTTTTTGAATTAGGTGAAATTGGGAAAAAAGGCAAAACACGTAATTAATATTTTTAGAGGCATGTAAACATTTTGCAGTGCTTTTTTCATGCATAGTCAAAACTTCTCTCTTGAATTTTTCGTAAGAAATGAATCCCAGCTTTAGTTATCTTGTGCCATTTTTATTCTACTGTTAATGCAGAGGCGGCTTCATTGAGAATAGTTGGTCTGTTTTCTTATTTTTTTGTTTTTTTCTCTACTTAACATATTGTGAGTCAGATCAGACTGCTGCTATCAAGAAAGGAGCTTTATTTTTGTAACTTGTACACTTCAGTTTTTTATTTAATACTTTTGCCATCTCTGACATAGTTTTTGAGCTATTTCAAACTTGTAAGAGTATATTTAGAGTACTGTGGAGTACATTTGCTGTCTATTAGGCTGTTGTTTGAACAACAAATGAGAGCATCAACTGAGCTTCGGATAGTTCAAATGGAAGTTTAAGACAGTTTCTCTTTTAATAGGAAATGGTGCTATAGTGAGAATATCTTTACAGTAGGCTTTCCTTAACTATAGTATACGCTTAACTGAGAAGAAAACAGGGTTTTTACCTAAAACGTGAGTGGAGTGCAAAGTACGGTTATTGGCTTTGTGAAGTTTTTGCTTTCCCTCCCTGCTGTGTCTTAACCAAACAACCAAAGACAGGCGAATAACTTATTTCCTGTTAACTGCCTACTTGCTAGGGATGACAGGAGTCTCATCTTTACAATTGTCATGGGCATCAACAGCATAGGTTGGAGCCTGGGTGAGTGGAGCTAGGTGCTTTAACATCACGTGAAGTAGCATAATGTTTTGGAATTGTATACTAATTTCATTTTATGAGAATTCCTCATAAAGAAAAAACTTTTTTTTTCCTTCTTGTGTATAATATTGGCTCAATTTGTGACTCCAGCTAGATAGAAATAACCTCTACCTAAAGGTCTTTTAATCTTATTGAGATTGCTGTCGCAGAATGGCTCTGATTAGCTGATGATGCTCTGGGACGCCACTGATCTGTAGATCACTGAGTTCCCTTTTTCAATGTAACAGTGAGTAAAAAACTGGTCCTGAGTAGTAGCTGATGTCATATCACCTTTCTGTGCAACTGTGTTTTTAAGTTTCATTGTTATATCTCAGTTTAAATTTATTAAATCTGTTGGTTGTTTTTTTTTATAAGACTTTTTTTTTCCCTATAAAAAGCAGGTTAGCAATAGCAACAATCGAGTAGCATTGGTCATATATTGATGTGTAGATCTCTTCTTATCTTTTTTCAAGTTATATTTAATTTTGTAGTGTATTACCAACACCCACACATCTCTAAAGAAAATTAGTAGTATCAATGCATGTCTCTCAGTTCTTATTTAGTTTTTATTAGTCTACAGTAGAAAAATTAATTTTTCAGTCCATAATTCAAATAAATGATTGAAATTGCATCTTAGAGGTTACAGATTGACACTTTTTCTTTGGAAATAGAATCCTCTGCAGTGGAATTCCTAGTGCTATTGTGGTCCATTACAAGCACAAAATTGCATCTTTCCACTTGTCCCTAATTTTGCATTTCGACAGGGAAAAAAAGAAGGTTTGCTGTTACTGTTGCTAAGCAACAAAAAGATGAATTATTCCAACTTCTGGATTTTCCTTGTATGATGTGTGTTAGAAGGATTTTCCTGCATTGGCGAAAGATAGCCTAGATGGGGTTATACGTTTTTGCTGCCTCTGCATGGTTGTTGTAAATCACACTGTTTTGTTTTCTGAAACTTAATTTCTCTTTCTGAAATGGAAAGCTTGTTTCTTTTTCATTTTTCACTTACACATAATTTTTATATCACTACTTGAATTTAAAAAAAAACAAAAACAGAAAGCATTGTAAGACAGTAAGTTATAGTCCAAGTATTGCATACTATTACTTTTATTTACAAGTAAGTAGAATAATATAGTCCAGTTGGAAGTGACTTAAAAGGTTATTAAGTCCAACTGCCTGATCACTTAAGGGCTAATGAAACATTAAAGTACATTATTAAGGTATTATCCAAATAACTTCTTGAAGAATAATAGGAATTTTGTTACAGTCATTCTAAAATTGTCTTCTTCCAACACAGTTGATTTTAATATCAAGTAACTACTGGTATTTGAAGAAAATTATTCATCAAATGATGTGTGAAAAAGATAGAAACTTAAGGGTATGGAAGTTCTGTTAAGATTTGTGCTTGAGGGTAGATTAGAGAATCAGAATGATTTTGAGTTGGAAGAAATCCTTGAAGATTATCTAGTCTGTGAATAGGATGATCTTTCACGAGGTTGGGTTTCTCTAGGCCCCATCCAACTCAGCTTTAAACTCTTCAAATGATGGAGCATCCACAGCTGCTTTGGACGAGCTGTTGCAGCTTTGTAATGCTCTCAGTAACTTGATCATTTTGTTCTTAATAGCCTAATTTTGATTTTTGTTTTTGTCCTGGTTTTATTGTAGGTTGATATGATATATTAACCTACGCTTGCTAATTGATTTCCACTCAAGATGCAAGCCAATACAGTACCACATCTTCCTTCTAAATTCCTTACATGTGTAAGAAGCCAGGAAAGATCTTGAACAATAAAGAGGCTGCTTCTCCTTGTGCAATGATTTGAGGCCATTGTGTACAGCAACAATAAGAATGCGTCAATAAATACATGGGAGATTGGGTTTTGTATCCATGTCTGCAACATAATTGCTTGTGGCTATGCAATATTTTTATCGCATAGTAAGTTTTGGAGGACTTTTAAAAATAGCTTTCTCTGTTTGTTTGGACCTCGGAGTTCACATATGTGCATGCATATTCACTGTTACATGTGACTGGTAAGCCACCTTTCCTGATGTACTGACTTCCATGCAGAGGAAACCTGGCTATGTGGTCAGAGAAGAGCTACTCACTGCTCTGAAAGCTTGAGAGAACTCAGTTTCTCTCTGAGTAACTTCTATCATGTAGCAGGAGTCCGGTTGATTTGTGTAAATTATATCAGATGAGTAGTGATAAAAAGATGGAGATAATTTCAGAAGTTAACACTTCTTTGGGCAAATAATAGTATTAGTTTGAAGACTGGTTTGTCTTCAAGCTAAGCTTGAAAAAAGCTGTTTATTTAAAAGCTGAAAAGAAGCTTTTTATTAATGGTTCTTTGTGTCACTGAGTATAAGATTATGTACAGTATTCCTCTAATTTTATTTTTTTTTATTGTTTTCTCTAAATTTTCTAAAGGAGTTGATGACCAAGCTGATAACAGAGACACCTGACCAGCCAATCCCATTTTTAATTGATCATCTTCAGTCTAAACAAGGGAACCGTGGTCAGCTTCAGAGAACACTGTCTGGCTCTGCCGCCCTTTGGGCAGAGAGTGAAGCATCAGGTATGTTCTGTAAGGTGGGAAGGGCTACACTAATATCTTCCCACAGTTTTTGTGGGTTGTTTCTTGGATGCTCGTGTATTTACTGTGGAAGTACTGCTCTGTGCTTTTGAGCATACAAATCCTGTTTGTTCATGAGAAACAGAATTTAATGTGCATAGACTAAGCTAGTAGAATCACAGAATGAATTATAGAACGTCACGGGTTGGAAGGGACCTTAACAAACATCCAGTTCCAAACCCAATAGATCAGGTCCATCCAAGCTAGCCCTGAATGCGTCTCTTTTAGTTTAAAACCATTCCTCATTGTCTTACCACTATTTACCTGTGTAAGAACTCAGTCTCCATACTGTTTATAACCTCTCTTTTAATACTGAGAGGTATTGGGTTTTGTTGGATTTTTTTTTTTTTGGTGGTTTGTTTTGTTTTACTACAGTCATTTTTAACAAGCCATCATTCTAACATTCGATATGCTGTTGTAACTTTGTGACCTCCACTGCAGATAATTTCTGATTTTAGATTTAAAATAATAATAATTTGTGATTCCAAAGCATTTCTGAGAATGTTGGTTTTGCATGTAAAAATTGACTGGTTATCTGTTTCAGACTATAAATGATCTCCAGCAGTTGTTTGTAGTCAACTGCCTGACAAGTTAACTATTTATATCAATTTTAACATTTTAGATATAGACTGTTAAATGTTATGATACAGAGGTTAATGACCTCTTCATCAAAAAAAAAGAAAAGTATGTTTTGAAATAAAAGGACGTTAAGGGATTTCTCAGTTTTAGTGTTTAGGAAAACAAAAAAAATATGGAATTTAGCAAAAATCAGGAAAAGTAGTGCTAAAAGAACTGTCTGTGATTTCCATTGATAAGACTAGGAATTTCTGAATTAATTGTTTATGGTGTCTTTGGAAAATGACCCTGTGAAGATTATAATTGCTGGATTTTATTCTTCAAACAGAAAATAAAGGAACAAGGAGAGATTTCAGAAGTTATGATAAGCCTTGGCAGGTAAATGCAAAGAAGCCTAAAAAGTCAAAGAGTGACCTTGCCGTATCCAATATCTCTCCACCGTCACCGGAGTCCAAGTCATGTAAGGTTCACTACATTATAAGCTTGTGCACATTTCTAAACTCATAGTCTGAGTTTCATCTCGTTAGGTTTTTCTGTACATTAGGTTTAGAAAGAAAAGCAAACTGTGAGCAGTTGAAACGACTAGAGAGACATATTAGCAGAGTTTGAATCTTGCTTCACTTTCATGTGCATTATGAATTTGTAATTATATCCTATATTTTCATCTAGCTTCAAACCTATATTTTATTCTAGCTTTTTATAGTTTTTTATTTATCATGTCCAAAACTTTTAAGTATCTTTGAGTTTAATGAAGTGTCCCAAATGGTAAGTGTAGTTAGTAATAGAAAGCTTGCTGGTTTTCCTCTGAAGAACAAGATGTGGAAGTCTAGAATTCAGTTGACTTAATGGAAAATATCCCAGTGACCACAGAATGTCAAAATCAAAGGTAAACAGATATTCAAGAAGTGGTCAGTCACTCATAATCTGCAGTCTTTGCAGGGTAACAACAGTTTATAGAAGCAATGGCCAAGAGTGTACTTCTGTCCTTTTTTTAAATTACCCCTGCAAATATATCTGTGTGACTTTTTAAATATGTTAAGCACATCATTAATTTTTTTGTGCATTTGAATTACATTTTAAGTGCTATCGCAGAGGGTACTTTCAGCAATGTGCCTTCTTGTGATATCTTGCTTCTCTTATTTTCTGCCAACAAACAAATTAATAGTGACCTTTTTTCCTGGATTTATGCCAAAATTAGTGAGCACTCTGTGCTCCTTCAATCACTTGGATCAGTGGAAAGCAAGCATGTTCAGCAGCAATTCATTACTCTATCCAGACTTCCCACCTGTGATGCATCTTCAGCTTGTAATTTAAGACGTTTTTGGTGTCGCTGTAAGTTGCTTCATGTGTTTTTGTTTTTGTTTTTGTTTTTTTCAAAAGCTCTTCAAAGAGGTAGTAAGGACTTTAACTAAGAAATAATATGGGGGCCTATTGAAAGCCAAAATTTTGCTTTCAGATTTGTGTAAAATACCAGAAGACCCCTCAGCCATCTCCTCACTTTCCCTACAAGAACACACCTTACAACATACCTTCCCCTCCCCAAATAAAATCAGCCCAAAATTAAATGGAATCCATCACTTGTAACATATTCTGTTTCAGAACTTTTGTCTAAGGACTGTCTTTTTCAAATGATCCAGAACTTTTAACTTGATGAAATGATAGAGTCATAGAATGACTTGGATTGGAAGAGACCTTAAAGGCTATCTAGTTCCAACACCCTGTCATGGGCAGGATTCACAGCCTCAGGATAAGGCTACCCAGGGCCCCATCCAACCTGGCTTTGAAGACCCCTAATGGTGGGGTACCCACAGCTTCTCTGGGCAGCCCTGTTCCAGTGTGTTACCGCTCTCTGAGTAAAAAAATTTCTTCTAATATGTAGTCTAAATCTCCCCATTTTATTTTAAAACTGTACCCCCCTTGTTCTATCCCTATCTGTCCATGTGAAAAGTTGATCTCCCTTCTGTTTATAAGTTCTCATTTAATACTGGAAGGGTACAGTGAGATCTCCCTAGGGCCTTCTCTTCCCCAGACAAAACAAGTCCAGCTCTCTCAGCCTCCTTTCGTCGGAGAGGTGCTCCAGCCCTCTCATCATCTTCATGGCCCTCCTTTTAACCTGCTCCAGAAGCACCACATCTTTCTTGTGCTCAGGCCCCAAGCCTGGACTCAGTACTCCAAATGGGGCCTTATGAGAGCAGAGTATAGGAGGATATTCACCTCTCTTGCCTCTTTTGATGCAACCCAGGATGTAGTTGACCTTCCAGGCTGCAAATGTACTGAGGGCGCAGTTCATGGTAATCTTTGGAAATATCATCAGGAGATTATATTTAGTTAGTTAGAGAATATCGTTTCTTTCTGCAAAGCTGATGTTGAATTCAGAGTTGATGTTATTCTTGCACAGATCTCTCTTCCTTAAACTTTCAACTTTCTTTTTTACTAGAAAGGTTCTTCCAGTTCTTTCTGGCTGTCAGCTATCTCTGTCATATCTGAAACAAACACACAAATGGGAACTTTGGTGCCATAGCGGTCTGAATACTTGTTTGCAAAAATATGCCTGGGCTTCTGTTGTTGTCTGGCAAGAGAAGAGGTTTGAAGCTAGGCTGTGTTTGTGTGTGTGTGTGTGTGTGTGTGTGTGCGTGAGTGCCTGTTCAGTGAAATATCTGGATGATCACATCCAGTATTTGAAGAATAATCAATTTTGAAGTTTCTAAGTAGTTAGTGAAAGAGACTTCTTGCTATCCAGTTAACTACTGTTAGGCAAAGTAGGTTGATGTCTTTGCCAGCTTCGTGTTAAATCTGTTCACAAGTCATTCTTTCCCTCTACTTCAGCTCACTGTTCTCTTTCAGGTTTCTGTTGGTGTTATATATTCCTAATTGCCAATTTTCTGTCTAGTACTACAGGCCTTTATGCTCTTAGTCTTCTAGTATCCAGATATTGGAAGAACTGTAATGTGAAAGATCTTGCGAGATTTCAATGCCTGAGCAATTTTATGTTCAGTAATATCTGCATTTTTGTTCTTTGGGATGTAAGAGTAGTATACAATGTGTTAATGAAATATAGCTCCTAGTCTAGGAAGGGCTTTTTTCCTACAATGAGCAGTTGTGTGCATGAATATGTGGCCTGGTGCCTTGTGATAGGTGTAACTTTCCCATGGGGGGATTTAATGGAGGATTTAATGAGCAACTAGTCTAATTTCATCTGGAAATTATGTTTTGAAAATACAAGTATGTGTAGGAAAAAACAATACGGAAACAATACTGGTCACCTACTACAATGAAAATGGTCAGCTGGTATGACAGAAATTATAACAAACTTAGAAATGAATCTGTTGTTGATGTGCATTTGTTGGGGGATTTGTATGTCGGGAGGAGGTGAATGGAGGACAACACCAGAAAAGCAGAAATACAGGGAAGCATGTTTTTGCTGTCTCCTAAGATGAGATGGGAAAAGGGAAAGAGATAGGGAAAAGCTAAATATTTCTACACAAATGCTATGAGTAGATGTCATGGATCTTCTACATGATAATCAAATAATCTCAAGAGTAAGTATATAAATGTCTCAATGCAAATGAGTTGAGGCAGGTGATGTGATGAAAGATTTAAAATTACTGACATGAATTTGAGGAATGTGTAAGTATATTAAAGGAAGAAAGTTGGAATGTAATGAATGGATTTTGATAAATGTGAAATGAGATACATATGAAATGAAATATGATGAACTTTGTAGAGGAAAAGATGCATTTCAAACGATCTCAGGGAAGGGTCATTATAGTGTTTATGTGGTTCTGCATGCTTCACATAAAGCCATCTGCTTTGAAAAGGCTGTTTTTGTTGATCCTGTTGTTGGAATGGTACAAGTTCACAATTTTCAAAGCATTTAGCAGAACATGAGTCTTGAAAGGAGAGATGCTTGTCACATAATGTAACAAAGGAGGTTTTAATTTTAGTCTTCAATCATTTCTTGGATGAGTAAGTAGGTAAAAAGAAATAAGTCTTCTACAAGTAACAGAAATTTTTAATTCTGCTGTCTTCTTCCTCAGTTTTGTCTTAATAAAGTAAGTTAATGAAACAGAAGTGTTCCGTAATGTGTCTGTTTTGGATACATTTTCACTGAAGTACTGACAATGGTTCATTAATATACAGACTGTGCTAACCAACAGAGAAAATTTCTGCTACGTTTTTGACTGCTTTCCCAGTATCCATCTAGGGAGATGCAGAACAGTCGAAGATGCTGGTGATTGTAGGGCATTTCTCTGAAACTGGAGACCACACCAAACTAGGAACTGATTCACTCTATCCAAGGCAAAAGTCTTGAAACTCTCCTGTTCCTGATGCAGATCATCCACATACCAAATGACTGCTGATCCTTAGAAGCTTCACAGCTGTTGAGTGGAAATGGTTTTTGTTTCTTTCAGCACCTCTTGTGGATCTCATGACAGATTTTATTTAGAAATTATATTGTTTCTCAAAAAATTCTGCCCTTATGGATTTTGAAAAATATGATTAATTAGAAAATGACATGATAGCATATTCCAACCTGTTGCAATTTCTTGCAGCCTGGAAGCTCTAAGCCTTGGATATCTTTGTTCATGCTTTTACAATATGAAATTGTTCTCCATTGTATTTTGGTGGTAATGTGAGGTTTCTGTGCTACAGTGAGTTTGTTGTAGTGTTGTAAATGGAAAGAAAAATCTGTCAGTATGGTAGTAGGTTAGTAAGTGATGCTGTAGAATATGTTGTTGGTACAGTGAAGGGTGATGGGGAAAAAGCAGGCAATTAAAGTGCATAGGATCTCCATGTGAACCTAAGGAGTAAAAATGGAGCTAACTTGTAGAATTTCTGTGAAAGTTTACTAGATATTTCTATTTGGTGTTAACAGAACTACAGAAAATTTAGAAAAAAATACTAGAAGTAAAATTTTGTTTTCTGCAAAATAAAGAAAAATGAGAAACACTGAAATTGTGCTACTTAGTTGAAGTTATGTATGAATAGAGGAAAATTTTGGTCACACAAAAATTTACATGAATTCTAATGTGCATGATCCCTTCTAAAACAGGAAGTAAAGAATTAGCTTTTGAAAGTAGTAACAAAAATTGTAAGCTGCCATCTAACAGGCCTAGTACATTAAGGCCTCTGTTTGTTACTAGAAATGACCACAGTTCATTAATTCCCTCTCTCAGAATTCCTTTTCAGAAATACGTGACTCTTTGAACACAAAGGAGAATGAGGCTGACATTTTTCCCACCAACTTTCCTCTCTCTTCTCCTTCTCTTTCTCCAGACTTCCTGTGTTTTTTTCCTCATAGTCTGTTTTTTCTATGTCTTCTTTCTTTGAGAATGTCTGTAATTGCACTCTAATGTATTAGTATCTGTAAGACTTAACAAGGTTCCTGAGCGGGAGTTACAGATCAGAATAAACCCTGGGTTTTCAGACTCTATGTAGATGTCCAGTTTATAGATAATATCATGTGTGCCTATGGGAGATAGAATCATATTTTAAAAAAAAAAAATATTTTTGTGACAACTGGGGAATATTGTGCTGTTTCCTTACCTGGCATTTGGCTTAGCCTCAACTTTACCTTGTGGAGTTGATCCAGAGTGGAGCACATTCTGTATACATCCAGAGAGCAGGTAGCACTAAGGCAAATTTGAATGGCATCAGTTATTTAAAACATTTTGTACTAGCTACCAAAGCTTAACATCTGAGATAAATTTCCCCATACCATTATAAAAACACTTTGAAATTGCCAATGATCATGGGATACCTTTGGTGTTTTTTTCACATGGTCTTTAGGAGTCTGCAAGTTTTCTTTGTAGTGATTAATGAAAATGATGTTTGTAATCATAAATTAGTTAACAGCTATCAAAATTGAAAATTAATATTTCAAAGCTGGCCAGCAGGCATTGAATGTATCTTTGTGCGCTCTGTTTTTGAAGTTATTCTTAGGGGAGTAGCGATCAACCACTGATAAATGCAGCTGGTTCTTTCTGTTGTGAATGTGAACTAAACGTAATCATCTTCACAGCAGTGTGTGTGCTTCTCAGCATGGCAATGCTGTGTTTGGAAACAACCCGACAATTGCTTTTAGTTCAGAAGTCAGTAGATCCAGAGACATTCTTTTTGTTCTCATTTCTGAAAGTTGTTCAGCTGAAAAACTTCTTTTGAATTTTAGTCAAAGGTTTCAGTAGTAATTAACATGTAGAAAACTGAGTTTTGGACTGAATTTCCCAAAGACTAAGTTTATTTTCTGTAAGTTCCAGAATTTTTATTATTTAATTGTTAGCATTAATTATTGCTGATTGCCAATTAATTCAGTCATAGTCATCCAGAGTATGTATTTGCTCACAGGTGTTTTCACTTTTATTTCACGTTGACCAAAGAAAATATTTCCAGCTGTTAAGAGGATAATTAAACAGTTTCCACTCAAGATTCTTGAGCTTGTAAACACATTGTACAGCTATTTTTTTTTCCTGTAGGAGTCTGAACTACCAAATCTAAACTTCATGTATATATCTGTGTATATTTAGTGCCAAGGTCAATAGAGCATCCTAAGTGGGATTGGAGGACAAAACCGGAGAACCATGATTTTGATGAGCTAAATCATATTCTTCAAGAGAGCAAAAAACTTGGAAAAGCCCTTGAGAATCTTTCTCGCAGTAAGTTGATTGATTTTAGTTTTTTAATGTAACCATGCAGCCTAAATTGTAATCTGGAAGCATAAATATCAAGAAGGTGATCTCCTATCCTATTAAGAGTAAGTTCACTCACATTTGCAGTTGGATTCTGGTTGAGGAGGTTTGCAGAATGTCTAAGGCAATTTAGCAGCTTTCCTACTTCCTGAAACTACTTCCCCTTCACCTTTTTTTTTTTTTTTTTTTTTGGTTGTTTTTGCCTTTAATTTCTGCCAGCTTAGTGAGTTGAATTAGCTCATAAAGAGATAAAACACAAGAACCTGTTTTAAGGAAAATGGCAGGAATGTGTGGCAGTGTACTGCTGTACAGCAGTGTACATGCAGCAGCTACTCCTGTAGAGGTTAATGGATAGGATAACCGTTTGTGAAACCTTAAACGCGTTGGAGATGGAGATCAGACCTGTTATTGAAAAACAGCATTTCATGGCCTTGATCCTAATTAGTTCCTTACAATTTTCAGAAGCATTTCGGGTAGTTTAAATAAATACTCAGAAATTTGGTAACCTATGGCTTCATCAACAAGAACCTAAGGATTATCCCTCAAGAGACATAGTGAAACAGAAGCAATGTTTACAAATAGCATGCCCATAGAAGGAATAGCTCTGAAATAAGATGCTAGGTTGAAGTACCTTGATGGAAGCAAATCCTGCTAGCAGTTATCAAAGTGTGAAATGTACTCTGCTAAGGTGCATGAGAACTATGTATGATATGATCTGGGAGCTGTGATCTGGGAGACATTTGAATGACAACTACTTGGCTTCTTCTTTCATTAAGTTTTATCCCTGTCACTTCTTGATTCGGTGAAGAAATTGCAGATGATGTCAGAAGAAGAGATGAATGAAAAATAGAAAATCTGTCTTGTAAATAATTTTGAGAATTTTTTTTTCTATTTTGGGTCAAAACTGAAACTAGCTTGCCCAGATGCCCTCTCCTGCTCGTGCTTTAGCTTGATCACATGAATTATAGTTTGAGAATTTTTCCTATTTATATTAACTGGAGTAGTATTGTTACAGGACTCTTCAAATACATTTCCCATTAGCTACTCTGTCTGCATTTTCTCCTCTAAGGAGCTGAAACTCTTCCTGACTTGGTCTCTGATTTGCAGCCCTACCATTGCTTGACAGTATTACTGTGATGTGTCTGGCAATTTCAAACCTTTGTCCTTGTAACCAGGAGTAACACAGATAACGCAGATTCAGAAACAACTTATTTTCAGTTTCATAGAGGGTTATTTATTTACTGTCCCGAAATACAATGTGATCAGACATGAGAATTCAGTAATAAAATATAAATCCCGTCTCAGTCCTACATCTTTTGTCTTTCCTTCTGAGTGTTGTGTAGCTTCTAATAAACTTCTGCTTTCTCATATCTAACATGTAGTTAGCAGCATTCTGTGCCTCTTTTTTTCCCAAAGAGTTTTGTAGCAGGAGTTTTCTAATGCTGCACCTCTTCAGAGTCCTGTGTTTGGGCTGGAGGTGAATATACCTGGTCAATATTGTTGGAATCAGGTTTTTGTAGTTATTTACAGTTGATACATTCTTCATTAATTCTTGCTAGTACTTGATGTTTTCTGATGATTTGCCAAGGTAATGGCAGACTTTTTGTCTTACCCCCCCAGAGTGCTTTAATTCACTTGCAACCTGATGTAACGTTCACTTTCATGAATGTACTTTCTGTTTCTTCATCCAGATCATTACTGGAAATATTTTCAGACTACTTCATGATTCCATTTCAGATCTGACAACCAGCCCTTGAAAGCTACTCAGTAAGTGCATTTTTTCCCACCAGATGTTATCTACCTAGCAGTGATTACACCTAGAATGTAATTCTCTGATTTGGCTATCATCTAGGATAGCAAAAAAGTCTTATAATAGCTTAAGTATTTTACTACTTCTTCCTCTTATCCACTAGGCAAGTTTCCAAGTTGAGAAAGCACTTAGATTGATTTGGCATGACTTGTTCGTGTCTGCTGGTTCTTATCACCTTCCCTATCCATTAGAGGTCCATAAACTGTTTATTTAACAATTTTGTCAAATATTTTTGCTGCTATCACCTGTAGGCTGGCTGGTTAGTAATTCCTCTTCTTTCCTTTTTGTTTTCTAAATAAAGATGTGGTGTTTCCCCTTTCCTGTCCTCGATTCCTGAAAGACAGTTGGTAATAGTTCTGGGTAGTTTGGTAGGTACTCTAGCATGAACATCACAAGATTCTGCCAACTTGAATGTATCTGAACTACCAAAATATCTTTCAGCTTTCCCTCATCTGGCCTGTAATTCACCCATCTTAGAATCACTGTCATTAGGAACCTGTGACTACGATCTTTTATTGTAAGGATTGAAGCAGTGGAAGTATTAGATATTGAGATTTCTTTGTATCATCCATTATTTGTTTCCCTTATCTTTGATGTAGTAGTTCTGCATTTTGCTTTGTCCTCCTCTCCTGATGTATTTATAGTACCTTTTCTTGTGAATTTATTTTTGTTCTTTGATAAGTTGTTAATCATTTTCACTTTAGGCTTTTTGGCTCTATCATTTAAACACTTGTGTCAGATTAATTCTCAACTATGTGTCCTGTTTTCAATATCTGTGCTTCCCATTTTCACGTCATTTCAGGAAATAACTCCGCTCTGTGCTGATTTCTTCCATATTAGGATGATACAAAATAAAGATTCAAAATGAAATACATGAAATTTTTGGAAAAAAAGAAGAGAGATAATTGTAAAAGTGAATCTGATCTTATGGTTTCTGTACGGGGAACTGAAATTACATTTAGCAAATATCTCCGAAGGATTCAATGAAGAGACATATCTAGAGCATTGAAAGTTAAGGATGTGAAACTCATCCTGCTCTGGGCTCAATTGTCCCTTACGGTGAATTTTTTAAGAGCTGGGAGAGGTTTTTACAGCTGCTTTCTTCAGTGTTACTGCTTGCTTTGCGCATGCTACTCAATGCTTTGGATTGTTACAGGCATGTCCATAAAGTCTGTAAATCTAATGCTGCATTAGATACTGACCTTGTTTCCAAGCAGTATGTGGCAGGCAGTGGAGTGGGCTCAATAAATAACTAGTTGAGTGTGCAAATGAATCACAACATACTATCAGTGGCTTTTTACAACACATTTAATTTTTCAGTACTTTTAACAGGGAAAAGCGCCACATGAAGTTGAATGTGTGAAGTTAAATGATTTTTTCCATCAAGTTATGGAATTCATTTCATGTTTTAAAGAAATGCTTTGGATCTTATAGTGTATTCTAGGACTCTACGGACTTCACTGCCTCCTATACAACTGACACAGGCTATGAATTAAACTCTAGTTTAGATTGCTTTATTTATTGTTAAATCTCAGCTTTGAGAGAAACCTGTACATTTCACACAAAATCTACATCCTCCTAAGTCCTGTCAAGACAACATATGAGTAATTTTGTGTTCCAGTACATCCAGAAAAACCCACAACAGTGAATTCACACCTAATGCTAAAGATATGTTGAAAGACTGGAAGATAATATTGCCATTGTTACAGTCTATATGCATAGGAACTTGGTGACTCAAATATACATCTTCTTGTGGTCAACTGTGAGTCAGCACAGAAGGACAACAGGAAAGCCACAAACCCATGGCTGAAGTGCAGAATAAATTTATTTTTGTTCTTTCTCCAACTGAGGGTATCCCCAAGCAATACTTGGGCAGAGGCAGACATGCAGGAGAAACACAGGCAGTTTTAATCTTGATCCATGCAAAAGGATACCTGGCCTGCAGTGTATGCCTGTTTATCAAGGGTTTATCACCACTCTGCAATCTTCGCTGTTTTGATCTTCTCTTTACCAAGCAGGTAGCTCAAGTGTGCCTCGTAGAGTACTTCCAACTCTACCAAACACCTACGTTATCTATACAGAGATGTTATACTTGTGAAACACACGGAGGACAAACAGCAGCAGCTATAATATATGTATTTTTCCACAGTGCTACTCTACAGATTTTGCATATTCCTAGCTGCAAAATAGCTTGAACATATTTACAGTCCTCCTTGCAGGACTTCTGTCCTCATCACCTCTCCCCTCTTCCTTGCCAATCTTCCACTTTTAATCTCTTCCTCCCAGCATCAACCCATTTGGACAATCTGGGTTTTGCTTGCTTCTCCAATGACCTGTGTGTTATGGAGGTGCGTTTTGAACTATCAAGTCAATTATTTAGGAGAGTCTTTGGTTAATGAAATGGCATACAGGTATATACTGCATTTCCCTTATGCATATTTCATTTTCTTTAATCAAGAGATCACTCTTTACTGTAACTATCCTTCTTCCTCTGTAGATCATTAAGAAGAAGTTTTATAAGATATATACTCTTCTGTTTCCATTTCTGGCCTTTTAAATAGAGTTAAAATCTCCTGCATAGCTAAGGCTCTTGCTCATAAATAGACCTGTCTTAATCCTTAGTCTTCCAAGGTTAGAAAGGTACATAAACAAAGATGGAAAACAGTGAATTGTGTGTTATAACTGGAAGAAAATAAGGATTAAATCAGTAAGAACTTGCTTCGAAGTAGATGTGTCTGACTGCTTTGTGAACACCTTTACATCTTTTGTATGAGCAATTGGAGTACATAATGAAAATGTATACATATTGTACATTTTAGTTTGCACATAGTAACAGCATTTGATGATGCTTAATGTATTCTACTTTGAGATAGGATATGTTTTCACAGTTGCAAATAGGCATTTATCAGAGTTAACCAACGTTTTATTAATGTATGGATTCTTGCTGAGTCCAGGTGTATACTAGAAATTAGAGGGCAAGAAGCAAATTTGTCTTGCTTTGAACTTGACAGACATTCTAAGGTCAGAAAAAGGGTAGTAAGTTAGCATTAACTAAAGCTATTTGGGAACCCATCTAATTCTGTTTCAGGGAATCCCAGAAATAATGATGTTTAGCTATAACCAACAAAAAAAAAATAGTATTCTTTATCTCTTAATT